GAAAAAATAAAATGATTAACAATATAGTGCTGGATGATGGGCCCCTTGGGTTAGATGGCACTCAACATGCTAGTGAGGAAGAGCTGAGAAGCTTTTAGAATACTAATAGTGTTTATGGCGTGGCTAAATTAAAGGGGTTTAATTTAGGACATCTAGTTGTTGATATTGCCATGCATGAAAAGAAAATCCAACATTACAAAGATAGAATTACAGCGGGAACATGGAATGTGAGAAGCATGAACAAGGGAAAGCTCAACACAGTGAAAGATGAAACAAATTAACCACCCATTAACATCTTAGACATCAGTGAATTGAAATGGTCTGTAATTGGACAGTTTCCATCAGCAGATCATACTATTTACTACTAGCACACAAAAAACGAAGGAGCAGCAAGGCTTTCATAGTCAGGAAGGATATACCAAGAACAGTACTTGGGTACAATGCAGTCGATGACCAAATAATATCATTTAGACTTTGTGGACAATCCTTTAATATAACAAGTTTATGCTCCAACCACTGATGCGGAAGAGGTTGATGAGGTTTATTGTCAAGTTCAATTTGAAATAGATAGAACATGCAAGCAAAATGTGCTGCTTGTGGTTGGAGACTGGAATGCCAATGTTGGAAATAATGAGGAAAATATAGTTGGACTCTTAAGGCCTAGGAAACAGGAATAAGGCAGGAGAATGATTTATCAGTTTCTGCTAATACAATGATTTCTTCATTGCTAACACAGTCTTCAAACAACCTAAACGATATCTGTATATACAATAGTGCTTAAAGGTTTGTGAACCCTTTTGAATTTTCAATATTTCTGCATAAATATGACCTAAAATGTGATCTGTTCTACACACAAATCCTAAAACTAGATAAAGAGAACCCAGTTAAACAAATGAGTTCAAAACATTATACTTGTTCATTTATTTATTGAGGGAAATGGTCCAAAACTACATACCTGTATTTACTGGCATATAACACGCACAAGCGTATAACATGCACCTTAATTTTAAGAAGGAAGTTTGAGTAAAAAAACTTAAATTTAAAATAAATGACTTGGAAACAAAACAAAGGGAGCTCTGAACTTTTTGTTGATTAATATTTATACCACTTATAAGGTAAATACGTAATATGAAAGAAAAAGCCCCTCTTTGAATGAAGAGAGGTGGCAGCGCGAGCGATGGGGAGTGGCGGTTTTCGCTTGCCCACCCGCCGCTCATCTCCTGCTCTGCAGCCCGGTCCCTAACAGGCTATGGACTGATACTGGTCCGCGGCCCAGGGGTTGGGGACCCCTGTGCTAAACACTTTTGTTTTGATTCCATTAGGGATACTGGTAGTTTTAAGAAACTGAAACAAGTAGTGTTTCACATCACCCACGCAGTCTGGCACTCAGTGTGTCACTGAGTCATTACTACATGCTGGAACGCTGCAAAGAGAGGAGGGAAGCTCGCAGTACTTTAGTGACATCACCTGTGTGGTCTGGCGTGTAGTAATGAGTCAGAGCAAAGCCAGAACAGCTTCAGCTCAGGGATGTTGGTGGGCTTCCTCACATGGACTACCTGCTTCATGTCCTTCCACAACATTTCTATAGGATTAAGATGCTCGGACACACTGAGTGCCGGACCAGGCAGGTGATGTTATTAAAGACTGCAAACAGAGGAGGCATGATTTAAGTGCCATCAATTGGAGGAGGAGGTGGGAAGCTTGTGGTTGCAGCCCTGGCTACAGCCCTGGCTCAAATGAAGGCTCCACTCTCCCACCCCTGCCGCTTGAATATCGGCATATAACATACAGCTAGGATTTCAGCCCCAAATTTTAGGGGGAAAAGTGCATGTTATACACTGATAAATACAGTATTTGTTTGTGGCAAAAGTGTGTGAACCTTTACTTTCAGTAACTGGTGTGCCCCCCTTGGGCAGCAATAACTGCAACTAAATGTTTCTGATAACTGTGGATCAGTCCTGCACATTAGCTTGGAGGAATTTTAGCTTATTCCTCCATACAGAACAGCTTCAGCTCAGGGATGTTGGTGGGCTTCCTCACATGGACTGCCTGCTTCAGGTCTTCCACAACATTTCTATAGGATTAAGATGAGGACTTTGACTTGGCCATTGCAAACATTAAATTTCTTCTGCTTTAACCATTCTTTGGTCATATGACTTGTGTGTTTTGGATGGTTGTCTTGCTGCATGACCCACCTTCTCTTGAGCTTCAGTTCATAGACAGATAGCCTGACATTTTCCTGTAGAATTTGCTGGAACAATTCAGACTTCATAGTTCCATCAATGATGGCAAGCTGTCCTGGTCCAGAGGCAGCAAAACAGACTCAAACCATGATACTGCCACCACCATGTTTCACAGATGGGATAAGGTTCTTATGCTGGAATGCAGTGTTTGCCTTTTGCCAAACAACACTTTTCATTCAAGCCAAAAAGTTCTATTTTGGTCTCATCCGTCCACAGAACATTCTTCCAGTAGCCTTCTGGCTTATCCACATGGCCTTTTGCAAACTGTAGATGGGCAGCAATGTTCTTTTTGGAGAGTAGTGGCTTTCTCCTTACAGCCCTGCCATGTACACCATTGTTGTTCAGTGTTCTCCTAATGGTGGTCTCATGAACTTTAACATTCACCAATGCAAGAGAGGCTTTTAGTTCCTTATACGTTATCCTGGGGTTCTTTGAGACTTCCTGGAGTATTACATGCCTGCATGAAAAGAGAGATGCTAAATGTTCAAGCTGGTTTTAGAAAAAGCCAAGGAGTAAGAGACATTGCTGACATCTGCTGGATAATTGTGAAAGGCAAAGAATACCAAGAAGTCAATATGTGCTACATTGATTATGGAAAGGCCTTTGATTATGTTCACCCTGTCAAGCTACTAGGGAAACAGGAATTCCAGAACATCTCATTGTCCTCATGAGAAATATATATACAGGACAGGAAGCCGTAGTCCGGACACAAAATGGAAAAACAGAGAGGCTGCAGGTCAGCAAAGGAGTGAGATAAGGCTATATATTCTCTCATTCATTCAATCTGTATGCTGAATATACTGTATATGGAGGGAAGCTGTGTTGGAAGAAGATGAAATTAAAATTGAAGGAAGAAGCATGATTAATCTGTGTTATGCTTAAGACACTAATAGCTGAAAATGCAAATGCAATAATAGAAAGCTCTAGTAATGAAAATCAAAGTGCACAATGAAAAAATAGGACTAAGATTAAATACTCAGAAAACAAAACTAATGACAACAGGTACAACAACCAGTTTTAGAATTGACAGTGAAGATATTGAAGTGGTGGATAGCTGCTGCTTTTTATGATAAACTAGCAACAGTAAGTGAACCAGCAGTCAAGACTACCATTTGGTAGGGTAGAAATACAGGTAGTTCTCAATTACCAACCACTTGTTTAGGAACTGTTTGAAGTTAGGACAGCACTGAAAAAGGAAACTTACGAGTGGTCCTCAAAGTTGCGGCCATCACAGTGTCCCTGTGGTCACATGAGCGCAATTTGGACACTTGGCAACCAGCCACATTTATGACAGTCACAGCATCCCAGGTTACACAGTTGCCATTTGCGACTTTCACAGCCAGCTTCTGACAAGCAAAGTCAATGGGGAAGCCAGCTGGAAGTTCCAAGTAGTGTGTGACATTGTGCTTAATGACTGCAAGTGATTCACTTAACAACCACAGCCAGAACTGATATAAGACAGTTGTAGTCACATGACATTTCACTTTATGACTACGCCACTTAGTGATGGAATTGCCAGTTCCAATTGTAGTTGGTAAGTGAGGACTACCTGTAAGACCTTGGAAAAGACATTTAAATATCATGATGTGTTTATACTAAAAGATCATGATTATTCTGGGAATGGATTTCCCTGTGATAGTTTATGGAAGCAAGAGTTGGACTTTGAAGAAGCAGAATAAAATGTATTGATACTTTTGAACTTTGGTGTTGGAGAAGACTCCTGGGAATAATATGGGTAGCCAAGAAAACAAACAAATGGATCATGGAACAATTTCATCCAGAGTTTTCACTCAAGGCAGAAATGACCAGGCTCAATTTATAACATTTAGGATACATGTGAAGACCTATCTTGAAAAGTCTGTAATGTTAGGAAAAGTGGAAAGACAGAGAAGATGATGACCAGCAGCAAGGTGAGGGGAGTTGATTATAGTGGCTATGGATGCACTGATAGAAGACTGGAACAGCCAGGTTGGGGACAGATCATCCTGGAGAAGGTATGTGTGCATGGTTGCTAAGGGTCGACACATTTTGATGGCACATAATCAGTCAATCAGCCCGATAGTGACAAGCCATTTATGAAGGTAGGGGAAAAGGCGGTAGCAGATCTTATACTTAGTAGAAACAAAATGTCAGTTTTTGCCACATCAAAAATTATTGCAGTTAAGAACAGATGTATGTATTCTTCAATGTAATTTTATTTATTCAGGTATCTCATCTTTCTATACCATTGACAACGCAATATGTTTGATTGGAACAGTTAACAAACATAGTAACTATGCTACAGTGGCCTTTGCAATGTTCATAATAACAGTGAGGAAAAGAGTGAAGTCAGTAATTTCAGCTATATAGAAACTTAAGTGTTTCAAAGAGTTATACTGTATAATACTTTATGGCCTTGCAGCTGACTTCTGCAACTTTGTCTAACTATTTGAACTGATGTCAGCTGCTTCCAAATTTGTCCCGTGCCTTTGATAAACATTGTTACTGTTCAGACAGAGGATGAATATAGAAACTCCAAGTCCTCTTGTAAACAGTTTATATAAATGCGCTCTGAGCATTCAGTATACCAATCCATTTTCATTCTAAGAGACGTAATATATTACGTTTTCACCAGCAGTATTCTGTAGTCCATTTTACATTTTCCTTTAGAACATTGGCTGCATTCGCATATAACAATCCAGGAATTTTTATAATTGGGTATGCAGTGAAAAGCTAGGTCATAATGGGGCTGTTTATATATTACGCTAAGCAAAAAAAGAAAAAGCATGATAAAAAATCTGAAAAAAAAAAAAGTATGTTCTTGATCTTTGTATTACCTTTGGCCAAGCTTAGGGTTCTGATAAATGCTCAGGGTGACCAAGAAGGTAGCTAAGCTGTTTTAAATAAAAGTGAATTCTGTAAAATCCAGCAGAAATAAGTAAGTGTCAATTTTGACAAAAAGTATGTCTTTAAATATGATCAAGCTTTCAGTCAACATTTTAGTGCTCAACTTTGTTCTAATTTTGAGTCACATTTTTTTCTTTCTTGGCTTAGGAAAATCAATGTTTTGGAGCACATGAAAGCCCAGTGAAAACACCTCTGAAACAAACTGCTACCCCCAATTGGCTTTTGGCAGAGGTCCAGCCTACTGCTTCTGACCATCTGACAACACCACCAAAGCCCAATGAAAGTTCTTCTGGTGATCCATGGACCCCGACCGCTAACCTTAAAATGCTGATTAGTGCAGCTAGTCCTGAGATTAGAAATCGAGAACAGGAAAAAAAATGGTCAGATAGCAAAAATGAAAGCCTTGAGGTAAAACATTGTTCTTGTTTCATTTTGTAGTAGTAGTTGTTGTGGTGGTTGTTATAAATATAAAAACAAGACTAAATTATAGCCAATCTTTAAATATGTATTTGGAAGCTACATTGCTTGACAAGGTATTGAGTTAATAAATTCTCCTGTGTTACACTTAAAATTTGGAGTGCAGGTTAAATTTTGAGGACTACGAGCTGTCATAGAGCTTTTTTTCCCCTTTCTGTCTGCAGGATCATTTGTCAGAAGATGAATATGAAAAATCTCAACTAAGCCGTAAAGAGAAAAGCCTTGGATTGCTGTGTCATAAATTCTTAGCCCGCTATCCTAGTTATCCCAACTTTTCTAAAAATAATGAAATATGTCTTGATGAGGTAGCAGAAGATCTAAGTAAGTTTGGGTTTGGGTCTTTTTTTTGTGTGTGCTGGAGAAAACATACAGCTACTAAAAGGTGATACGGATGTGCAAAATTTACCAGTTCAAGAACAGAATGTTCTATTCCCCCTCCATGCTGTGCAGAATCTCTTCCCAGCCATGCTGTTCTGGCGCAGTTCAGTTTTTGAAAGTGGTACTAAACAAGGTTGTTTTGTCCATAGCATCATGTCTGGAAGATTTACTTATCAAATGAAGCAGCATTCCAAACATCAACTTTTTATTCTTTAGATTTATTTCAAATGGTAATAATTTTATTGTATTTTGTTTTATATGCTGTTTAGTGTGTAAAATACACTAAACGGTTTAATTAAAATATATATCTCTAAAGAATTACCACTTGCTTATTGCAGAGTAGTGAAAATATAATTGGGCTTTCAAACCACAGATCAGCTGTATATTTTGTTCTCTGGTATCTTAAAATTCTTAGGAAGGTCAATATCATTTTTTTTCATTTTCCCTTTTCAGTTTTTTTCTTATGCATATTAAAAAGGCCCAAGATATAGGGCCTTGGAAACTAGTGTACATCAATTAAAAAAGCGAAAACACAGCTAGAAAGCATCAAGCAAAATACATTTAAAAAAAAAAAATCTTCCTAGAAGATCTAGGACAGGGGTCCCCAAACTTTTCAGCTCGACCTCTTCATGAAGTTTCAGATTGTTCATCGACCCCACCAAACATCATATGAAAATAATTTAATAAATACTACTTCAACTAATAGTACTACAAATTATAACAATAATATAATAAAGACAAGGCCACTCTCGCTGGCAGCTGACCATCCAACTCTGGGTATCATTGTCTTGCTGCTAGCCACCTCACCTTCAGGACTAGGGACTGGCATGCAGCTCTACAGAGACTCCAAAGGATTAATTGACCCCAATCAACCTCCCATCATTTACCAACCACTTATTGATCCCCAGACATTTACTGACCCCATTTTGACCCCTAGCTATTAATTGACCCCTTGGATAGTCCCATCAACCCTTGAGGGTTGATATTTACCACTTTGGGGAACCCTGATCTAGGATATTTATTAGAAATCTAACAAGTTCTGGCCAGACTCTCTTCAGGGATCTTAGTGATCTCTTAAAAAGCATATTCTTCTAGAGCACAATGTATCAGTCCCACCCCATCTGGGTGATTTGAAAGGAACTTATGTTTATGTTAACTGAACACAATAGAAGTAACTGGGATCCAATAAAACAGTATTCATATGTTCTGGCAATCAAGGAAAAATCATTTTCAGACTTTGACAATGTATAGAGACCAAGTACTTAAAAAGAGTCTAGTTATAATGTTGGCAGCAGGACCAATGTCTATATACTTTCCTATTCTGGAATGATACCTGATTAGCACTTCTGGCTATTCTAATATCTCTCCTCCTTTGCTTCCCCACAAATAACTTACATTCAAATTGTGTTGAATGTTAATAATATTAATGATTATATTTTCCATAATTGAACCCCTGTAATTTATTTTGATTGTTAAAATATTTTAGTTGCAAGCCTTAGGGAATTGATAAGATTGAAAAAGAAACTGAAAATGATTTGTCATGTTTTCATCATTACAGATATTGAGCGTAGGCGTATCTATGACATAATGAATGTATTAGAAAGTCTTCACATGGTGAGCCGACTTGCCAAAAACAGGTATTCCTGGCATGGGCGTCATAATCTTAAAGAAACACTGCAGGTTTTGAAAAAAGCAGCTGAGAAAAACAAGTATTTGCAACAAATCGAACTGGTTAAAAAAGGAAAAAATAAACCAGAGACCGGAAATACTGGCCAGAACTTTGAATCGATGCCAAAGGATGCTAGGCCAAATTATCATCCAGACTTTGTGGAGCTTCCTGGGACGGAGCTTCAAGCAGGTAATTCTGGGAAAGGCATGTTGTTAGGTGGATATGTTCTGGGATTCCATCTGCTAAAATGTAGGGTGTGGGTGTAATCCATTAATTAGATTAACTATTTTTAAAAGCGATTTATTACCAGTACGCAGAAAAATTGCTAATGGGAAAACTATCCTAAAAGGTGTTCACCTTCTCCTTGAGCCTTTTCTAAAATGACATCTGGTATGGTGTGTGATCCCCAACCAGAGTCAGCTAGGAACTAGATTGGATATAAATATTACAAAATCAATAAATAATCTTGCTGAAAATGAATACAGGTAGTCCTCGTTTAGTGACAGCAATTGGGACTGGCAACTCCATCGTTAACTGAAGCAGTCACTAAATGAAAAATCATGTGACCCCCAACTGTGCTTATGATTTTACTTTGGCTTTCCTTTGCTTTACAGCATCAGAAGGATATGAGTTCAGACGGGGAAAGTTTCCAGAACTCAACTCACACAGAAGCCAAGTAGAAGGGCAAATCTGATAGCCCTTTTTCCCTACTCCCCCACCCTTTGGAATGCTCACCCTGGTGCTGCAAGAAGAGAATTGATGTTTGTGTTTACATTAATTGGAGTGGAAGGGATTACAAGAGAGTAAGCAGGCACCGAATGGGGAATACACATTGAAAGGAATGTGCTAATGTTGGCTAGTGTTTTGCTAGAAGGCAAAAGAAAGCCTTTAGTGTGAAACTGATTAGGGTTTTGTCAGTGTCAGGAAGCAGTGCCAGCAAGCCAGAGGGTTCTAATCAATTAATTAAGGCCACAAAGCTGAGCTTGTTAACTTGTGGTTATCACTTTTTAGGGACCTGCTACACTGAGAAAAGCAGCTCAGGAAGAGAAAGCTTATTTATTTGCAATGAGGGGAAAAGAAAAAAAACAGTTCTGGCACAGGACAATGTATACTGACTGACTAATGGCAAATACATGACAGACGCTGCAGAGGTTGTAAATGTGGGCATTGGTCGCAAAGTTACGTTTTCATCACAATCATAACTGCAAACGTTCACTGTCCAAGGCAGTCGCTAAACAAGGACTACCTGTATGCAATGTATTAATGCAAATTTCAGCAATTAATTGATAAACTACTGTAAAAATACATCCTAGTAATTGACCAAAATCAGGCCCTACTGAAATATGCCATCTCCAGTTATTAGTGATTTGGATTTACTTCTACATTTGGTTATTATCTCTTTTCTTTGAACAGCTTCAGTAAACAGTCGTAAAGACAAGTCTTTAAGAGTGATGAGTCAGAAATTTGTGATGTTGTTTCTTGTGTCAACTCCCCAACTTGTGAGCCTTGAAGTTGCTGCTAAAAGTTTGATTGGCGAAGACCATTTTGAATCATTGGATAAAAGCAAGTTTAAAAGTAAGTAATGAAAAGTGCTGTAGCTGGTGTGGGTCTTCCGGGCTGTGTGGCCGTGTGCTTGAAGTTTTGTTTCCTAACGTTTCACCAGCACCTGTGAC